TCTTTTGCTACGGACATACTCAAAGAAGCCCTTTTTATTGTGCTTAACTACTCTAGCCAGCCTAAGCTTATTCTGTGCTTTGGCTTTCCTGACTTTACATGTGCTAGCTATTTGTTTGAATTCCTCTTTAGTGATTTAGCCCCCTTTCCATTTCTTATACATCTCCTGTTTAAAACTTAGTTCAGTTGAAAAGTTCTTTTGTCATCCAACCCGGTTTCTTGAGACTCCTCCCATTTTTCCTTCTCATTGGAACAGTTTGAGATTGTGCCTTCAGTATTTCCCTTTTGAGAAATTCCCATCCATCCTGAACTCCCTTCTCCTTTAGTATTCCTGACCACCAGCAAGGGAACACATTAGAAGAGAAAGTTGAAATAAAAAGATAATGGAAATAATACACTTAAGACTATATACAAGAGATGAAAGGATGACAGATTCATTAAAAGAAGAACCATTTGAAGTTGATCCTGCAATTTTAGAAAGTGAAGTAGAAGCTGTATTCAAAGCAATTGGGAGAAATAAATCACCAGGAACAGATGCCATACCAATAGATCTGCTTCAGGTTACAGAAACAAAATCTACTCTAACTCTAAATAAAATATGTCAGCAAATGCTCAATATACATTCCAGTCCCCAAGATAGGGGACACCAAGGTTCTCAGAACCATTGCATTAATCTCCCATGCAAGCAAAGGAATGCTCAAAATTCTACAACAAAGACTTTCACCATATATGGTGTGAGAAATGCCAGATATCCAAGCTGGACTTAGGAAAGGAAGACACACTCAGGATCATGCTGCAATACATTGGATCAATCAATCAATCAATCTTTTATTGATTAGCCCTTAGGCCATTTCACTATAATTCATAACAGAGTAGAGCAGACTAAAAATTCAGTAAAAATTACAAGAAAGTTAAAAATATAAAGTATATATGAATGTAAATAAAATACCATATAAATACAGTACAGTATGAATACAATATTCCCAGAGGGGGGGAAAGGATAACATCAAACATTAGAGTTCTTCATCACCCCTGCAGTTTACACCAATCATCCTCACATATCTGGATCTCAACTGTGTCACTTTATATAGAAACTGAGCTGTGCTGTTAGTTATTTTTGAACCTTGACCACTCATAAAGTATGAAATTCTGTCATGGGTATCCCAAAACAATGTTTTTTTTTTAATGTAGGGACCAAGATATTGTTCTTTTTCCTGGTGGTACAAATCACATTTGAATAGAATGTGGGCTAAATCCTCAATTTCACATTCTCCACAAATACAAGTTCGCTCATTATATGGAATACCAAATGAATCTTCCATATCTTAACATAGTGTCAAGCTGATCAAATCTAGCTCTGGTAAATACCTCCCTTAGATGTTTATGCATTTTTATTTTTAGATAATTTGCTCTTTGAAAGGTGTGTTTATATCAGCTCAGCCATTTTAAGTTTCTACCTTACTTAAGGTGGCTACTTATATCTTTTTGGGCCTCGATATCCAGGATTCTCTGTCTCACATCCTTTTTTGCTTGATCATTAACTGAGCATGAC